TTCAATTAAACTGGAAGTTGAGACTGCCCCTTGGCCATTTGGGGATCCTGGTGCTAGTTAACCAACAGGCGAAGAAACCTGCCTGGGGTTACTGACCCTGACTACTAAGTAGATAGTATGGCTGGAATGCAGGAGACTCTTTGGGGTGTCTCTTAGTATTTAGTACTCCAATGCTTTGTGTTATGGCAATGGAAAACTACAACCCAAGAATAGGTTTAGATAGAATTAGAACCTCTGCTGGCCAGATCCTTTAGGAATGAAGGTTTGGGTCACCCCAAACAAGGCCAGGAATCATTTTCAGCTGAGATTCTTGCTGAAGGCAATGGGGATATGAGACAGGTAATGGGAGAAAATAGTCATACACAGTAATTATGATCATGCTGTCAGTTCCAGATACAAGGACTTTAGCAGTTCTGAGCATTTTTCCTAATTTTGATATGAATTTATGTATTTATTAACCAATTATTTTCTTTTACTCTTCTCTCATTCCCTTCAGTTCAGTTCAGTCGCTCAGTCATGTCCAACTCTTTGCGACCCCATGGACCACAGCACGCCAGGCCTCCCTGTCCATCACCAACTCCCGGAGTTTACCCAAACTCATGTCCACTGAGTCGGTGATGCCATCCAACCATCTCATCCTCTGTCATCCGCTTTTCCTCCCACCTTCAATCTTTCCCAGGATCAGGGTCTTTTCAAATGAATCAGTTCTTTGCATCAGGTGGCCAAAATACTGGAGTTTCAGCTTCAACATCAGTCCTTCCAATGAACACTCAGGACTGATCTCCCTTAGGATGGACTGGTTGGANCACAGTTTATTGTGATCCACACAGTCAAAGGCTTTGGCATAGTCAATAAAGCAGAAATAGAAGTTTTTCTGGACCTCTCTTGCTTTTTCGATGATCCAGTGGATGTTGGCAATTTGATGTCTGGTTCCTTTGCCTTTTCTAAAACCAACTTGAACATCTGGAAGTTCATGGTTCATGTATTGCTGAAGCCTGGGTTGGAGAATTTTGAGCATTACCTTACTAGTATGTGAGATAAGTGCCTTAGAATGTGTTAATAGTAGGTAAACTTGTATCTTAATATATAAGTTACAGAATAGCCAAGGTATACTATAACTTGTCAAGAAGAGGAATTAACATCACTCTAAGGTTCTGTCCTCTTTGAGGGAAGTAGGGAGTTGTTTTGGGTTATATGAAAGTTACATTATATGGACAGAGGCATGATTTTGCTATCATTTTTATTTGAAAATTAAATATGATTAAAAGAGCGTGTATGGATGTCAAATTGGTGAGTATTTGGAGTGGAGTAGTTTTATACTCACGAATTAGCTAAGCTGGAACTGGATTTCCCAGAATTCTCTTCCTTTTATAGTTTTGGTTATAGTTGGCCACAGTAGAACTTTCTGAGAGAATTACAAAGTGGAAGTGAAGCAGCAGCCATTACACTTGAAAGATCCGTGCAGGGTCCCAGACACCACTGTGATTTGGCACATGACCTGCCAACTCTTCTCCCTGGCAGAGCCTGCAGCCCCTCCGGCTTCTCTGCCTCCTGGACCAGACACAGATGTGGCAACTCAATCACTCTCTCTCTCCCTTCCCTATTGGGTCTGCTTTTCTGAAGAATACACTCTCCTGAAATCACACAGAACAGAGTTAAGTGGCACAAATGATTTACGGTCCCAAACCCGATTCCCCATCTATAGAACTGGGATCAAGTTTTTACTTATGTGGCTGTTGCATAGGGTTAAGTTAAACATTGTATGTAGACTACCTATCATGGTTCGCAGTGGGTGCATAGTAAATGTCAGCTCCCCTCTCTGAAGGGAGATCTGAGTCTTCTCAAATGACTTAATCAAACTTGAGTCTCTTCAGTTCAGTTCAGTAGCTCAGTCATGTCCGACTCTTTGCGACCCCATGAATCACAGCACGCCAGGCCTCCCTGTTCATCACCAACTCCTGGAGTTTACTCAGACTCATGTCCTCGAGTCGGTGATGCCATCCAGCCATCTCATCTTCTGTCATCCCCTTCTCCTCCTGCCCCCAATCCCTCCCAGCATCAGCATCTTTTCCAATGAGTCAGCTCTTCGCATGAGGTGGCCAAAGTACTGGAGTTTCGGCTTCAGCATCAGTCCTTGCAATGAACACCCAGGACTGATCTCCTTTAGGATGGACTGGTTGGATCTCCTTGCAGTCCACGGGACTCTCAAGAGTCTTCTCCAACACCACAGTTCAAAAGCATCAATTCTTGGGTGCTCAGCTTTCTTTATAGTCCAACTCTCACATCCATACAGGACTACTGGAAAAACCATAGCTTTGACTAGACAGACCTTTGTTGGCAAAGTAATGTCTGCTTTTTAATATGCTGTCTAGGTTGGTCATAACTTGGAGTAAGTCTCTTTTAATTTCATGGCTGCAATCACCATCTGCAGTGATTTTGGAGCCCCCAAAAATAAAGTCTGACACTGTTTTCCCATCTCTTAGATGTTACTAAATATGACAGTTATTTTGGCATATACTGTCTGATATCACACCAATACTGCCTTCTGGGTGTTTAGATGAACACAGAATTCAGATATTATTGGAGGTAAGTTCTGCCATTTATCTGTGGAAGAGCTTAGGCAAGTTATGTTTACCTGAGCGTCATTCCAATTTAGAAACTATTGCCTCATGGGGTTTTCATCAGAAGTAAGCAAGAGAGTACTCAGCTTAATCACGAGGTACAGAAGGTGCTCAATACATCTCAATACATACAGAAGGTACAGAGATGTTGTGGGAGTAATTAGGTTTTCAAAGATGACTTGGGTTAGTCGCTGTGAAACAAGCTGGGACCTGGGACCCTTTGCTGCAGTGCTTACACCTGAACAGAGGGCTCCTCCAGCAATAAATACAAAGAAACAATAAGGGGCTAAAATAAACTACACGCATGAACACACAGCTGGGGCAAATTATGAACAATAAGCTACAAAAAGCCCAAAAGCCCAACTGCCACTTCTGAGATGTGGGGAGCAAAAGCAGGGTACTGTGCATTATTTCTGCACACAACATCATCAAAGGGCTGGGCAGACTATCTAGGCCAGCTCTCCAGCATGACCTCAGGACCCCTACCCTTACTCCATTTAAGGAATAGGCTCATGCCCCTCCCCCCTCTCACCCAGGGGGCTAGCAAGATCTGTTGCTAGTTTTCACTCCCTCCTGCAGTATCACGAGGCCCAATAAAGCCTTACTTGAACTTTCATCTGGCTCCTATCCATAAATCCAAGGACATCGGTTGGTAAAAGTTGCGCTAAAGGGAAGCTCCCACTTAGTGAAGACAAAAAAAAAAAAAAAAAAAAAAAAAAATCCATGAAACCACAGTGGAAGTGATGTCTTTTTAATAGTAGAAAGCAGACAAGTTGAAAAACACCCGCAAAGATGTAGAAAGTTTTAAGTGATACACAAGAAACAGATGCCGTAGAAAGATAAAAAGTTTTGCAGACTTCTGTTGATTTATGGAATCATGAGCGTATGATATCTGATCTCATCCGAACGGGCTATCCAGTAGGTTCAAAGACCTGCCACCTTGCCAGTGGCTGGTCATAGCACGTAAGTGGAAGGGTGGGTCCCCTGAGAGCAGAGCCCAAGCAATTTTGCCAACCGGGGAGAGCTGGTTTAGGCTGATGTTCCAGAGGCTGGAATGCACTTGAAACAAAGGGTTGAAGCTGAAAAGCTTTCATGGTTTGGGGAGAAACGTGACAAAATAAACCTGCAGTCTACAACTCAGGTCAAGGGTTTTCTTCTTCCTGTCTTCTAAAAATCGAAGGCAAGAAACAAACACATTTGGTAAAGGGCGTGCAGTCTCTTTCCCCCCCTTTGTCTTCTCATTTTCATTCTTCTCATTTTTTCCAACGCATACTCTCACTTCTTCTTTCTCAGTCTCGGGTGTTTTCCCTCCAACCCCTCGCCCCCTCCTCACGCCCGCTTTACTGGGCTCTGCTCTCCGCCCCTCCACCCGGGACGGCCCCGGGGCCCGCACCTGCCAGGGGAGCGCTCGACCCCGACCCTCCCGGGGTGCTGACAGTGACGTAGAGGGGAGTCCTGGGCCCGCGCGGCCCGCCGACGTCACTGCCGCAGCGATTCTCGACGAAGCCCAAGGATGGGAATTCAAGGAGGGAAACACGGCGGTGACCCGGCGGTCAGGGCTGAGCGCTGCGACTGGGCCGCGTGCTTGGGGTTTCCGAAGCGAAAAGGCCGGAATCGCGCCTCCCGCGGAGGCAGAGCCCACCCCACACCCTCAGAGCGCCCCAACACCAGAGTTTAGCGATCAGGGGGAATGTCCCCACACGGTGGGGCCTCGTGCGCACTCGCCTTGGCCGGGGCGGTGGCGAGTTGCAGGACGAGGATGGGTCGGGGAGGAGGGCAGCGGGAGGGAACGGTGAGTGAGCCCCGATGTACGGCCCCGGGGGAGGGCGGCTCAACCCCACCACCGCTAGCCCGGCTCCCTGGGCGCTGCGGCGGCGCGGGGCCTGCGGCGCGGCGTCGTGACGTCACGGTGGCGGCGGCCGTGGTTGGCGCAGGGTCCGCGGCTGCAAAGTGTGAATTACGCCGGGCTCGCGCCGGCGGCGGAGTGAAGTCAGGCTCCGGGGAAGGGGAGGGGAGGGGGCAGGACCGCGGCCGGAGCTGGTGCCTGCATCCGAGCCCCGCGCGCGCTGGGTCTCGCTGCTGGCTCCAGCTGTGTGTTTTTGCACCGCTTTGCTCTGTTTTTGCTCCGCTCCTGCTCCGCTGCCCCCCGCACCCCCCGCCCCGGACCCTCTCCTCTGGGCCGAACTGCCTGGGTTACGCCGGGGTTCCCCCTCCGACTAGGCGGGTGCTGCCCTCGCTTGCACCCCGGGAGCCGGGCGCGCGCTGGTCTTCGTTAACTGTCGCCGCGGCCGCCGCAGCGCCTTCCCGCCGGCGGCCCAGGCGGAGTGTTGGGGTGGGGGAGGCGTGAGCTCGGCGGCCGCGGCAGGGCGGGCGCCGCGCGGGGGCAGGGCGGGCGTATTCAATGGAAGTATGTTACCAGCTGCCGGTGCTGCCTCTGGACAGGCCGGTCCCCCAGCACGTCCTCAGCCGCCGAGGAGCCATCAGCTTCAGTTCCAGCTCCGCGCTCTTCGGCTGCCCCAATCCCCGGCAGCTCTCCCAGGTAAACGCCGCCGCCGGGGGCCCCACACTTGGGGGCTGCTCTTTTGTTTCCCTCCTTCTACCTGGCTTCACCTCCGCGACCCCTACTACCCAGTCCTTGCCGTTCACCCCCACGACCAGCACTACCCGTTGTTTGGGGATGTCTAGGCTGACCCCCCTTGATTCGAGAGGCTTTTCTTTGATCCTCGGGGCTCAAGCCTCACCCCACCCCCCACCCCGGCCTGCTCGAGGCTGGACCCGGGTGGGCTCTAGGAGCCCCTTCGTACCCTCCCCAGGCGCGCCCCACTCTGTGCTCAGCGGCTGGAATGACTTAAGTCGTCTTCCTTTTCTCGACGTCTCAGTCTGGAAGTTGGGCCTCTCTCTCTCTTACTTGTGGTCCTGGGCACACCTGGCCACCCCTCACCCCTGCACACCTGTGCTGGGTTCGCGCCTCCCGCGCGCCCCGCGGTGCTGGGACGGTCCTGCAGTTCTCCGAACAATAGGCCGGTTCTCGGTTGCTCGTCTCCCTGCTTATTCGATTCTGTGGATGGACCCTAAGTGAGGTCAGAGAAACAAGTATTCAGAGTGCCTCCTCAAAGCTTCGGTTTCCGGAAGGTTGATAGCCAGGAATCAGTTTTGTTTTTAATTTGATAAGAAGATTATTAAGAGAAAAACTACTGATGGAGCACTCGCAGGAAGACTTTGTTTTGAATGATCCAGTACCAGTTGCTCCTGAGAATTTTCGGGTTTTTGATGCTGTTGGCCCAGCCTCTTATTTCTGGCAGATTTTGGTTGCCAGATTTAAAATAGGGAGTACAAAAGAATTTTGTTTACATTTGAACTGAGTGCCGTCCATTTCTGCTGCCAGAACGTTACATGTTCATGATCACATTTTGTCACATGTGTTTCTTTTTCTTGTTGACTAGTATTAGCTTCTTTTATGGGAGCATATCTACGCCCCCCAGGTATATTGTAAATAACTTGAGCCCGGTCTGTATTTCTTTTTGTTTTTACTGGTACAGTGGATAGCACCCAATAGAGATTTCTTAGAGTAGGTGTGTCCGGTAAATATTTGTCATTTGCTTCTTTGCCTAAATAGTTTGGAGAGAGAGAGCAGAAGCCTATATTTGGATTTCTCTGAATTGTTTTTATTTAAAAATAAGACTTCTTTCACGGGACAAAGTGGTATGCTAATGAGGTCAGAGTCAACTTAAAAAGATTACTGTGACATTTTAAAATAACGTTATGTAGTTACTTTGAAAGTTAGGTCCATGATGTGCCCTTACAGTACTGCTTAAAGCATTTTCAGGTTCCAAATTTAAAATTGAAAAGATACTAATGGATTAAAAAGGTTTTTAATGGTAGTAACTTTTTTTCCTTTCTCATATCAGCAGCGCATGACTAATACTCATTTCCGGTTCAGTCTAAATGTTATAATGAAGGCAGTCAGTTATCACTTGTAAAATTATAAAAGGTGAATAAGGTTAGTTGTGCTCCCCAAGGAGAAAATGAATGATATCGGAGATTCCAGGGGAATTAATACAAGTAAGGCTGATGCCAGGGGTTTTACCTGATGCCTTAATTAATCCTCAGAGACCAATTTTAAGGCCCATTCCTTCTTAACTCAGTTCCTAGCTTTAGGTATAAATGGGTAATGGAATTTTAAAATTGATTGTGGCAGATAAAGCAAATATTGGATAGTCACACTGTAATGCCATGCCATGCTTAGTCGCTCAGTCTCTCTGGCACCCTTCGGATTACAGTCCGCCAGGCTCCTCTGTGCATAGGATTCTCCAGGCAACAATACTGGAGTGGGTTGCCATTTTCCTTTTCCAGGGGATCTTCCCAATGCAGGATCCAACCTGTGTCTCTTGCATTGCATGCAGATTGTTTTACCTTCTGAATCATTCAGGAGGATGACTATACTTACTCTTAAAACTTAAAAAAAAAAATTGTTTGTACCTCAAAGTGATGTGTATAGAAACTTCTGGTTTTCCTGAGTGTTCAACTTAGCGATGCTAAACATTAAAATGACATTAAACTTACGATGGTGCTGAGTGGGTATGTTTTATCATTTTCAAATTTTTAAATAATTATTTAATACTAAAACATACATCATAGTGATTTGTTTGGGGCCAATGGGAATTTGTAATAGACTGAAAAAGAGACAAATCTTGGAATCTTATTCAGAGCTCCTAAAGTAAATATTTGGTTAAATCAAAAGCTTCGTTTACCCTTGAATCTTGAGTTTCTAAGTCTAGAGCTACAGGAATTATAAAAAGTTTAGGTGGTTTTGTAGTCTCATTGGAAAGACTTCAGGAAACCTGGTTTTGTTTTTTTCCTCCTTAGGTACTAAGTAGAAGTCATTTATTTTAGAGTACTTCTATTTTAAAATATGTTCACAGCTAGCAATCTTTTCATTTTTCAATTTTTACTTTAATATTGGAGCCCAGTTCATAGTAGGGACTTAGTAAGTACTGGCTGAATGAGTGAATGGCTAATGAAGTTATCACTGACTGAGCCTCAGTTGAAAATAGGAAATCAACATAACGACTTTCATCCAGGTCTAGCAGTGTCTCATTTATCCAAAACTTGCTTTGGAGTTTGTAACTGTAGACTTTTTAACAGATTCAGGAAATCAGAAGACTCAGAGCAGCCGAAGGAGATCCTCTGAGTTCTGACAAACTCCTTTTCTGAGTAATGGCACATTTGCAGGGGGATTGGAGGCTTCTGGAGTCAGGTTTACCCTGAGAGCAGCAGAAGTTGACAACTGACGCACCAGAAGCTCGGGATTGCAAGAAACACTCTTCAAAACCAGCAGCTTTTAAAAAGTTGGGCATCTTGAGTGTCTGCAGCACAATCATGTTTTTGACATTAGTCAAAATAGTACTTAATAGAATCTGTTTTTAAAAGTTGAAAGATTGATACTGTTTAAAACAAACAAAACCTCCAGTGTGTGTTGGTGCTTAAATGGGCAAGCATGATTTGTCTGGAAAGTTCATTTATGTGGAGCACCAGCTCTCCCAAGGATGCCAAGTAAATAAATGAAGCGTTAACTTTTTGTTTTAAAACAGGTCATGTACTACTTTCTTGAATGGTTGATAATGAGAGATTTTTAAATTATTTGAAAAATAAGGATAATAGTTTTTTGTGGGGTTTTTTTGGCCATCTTGGGGATATGTATTGTTGTTAGATGAATTTAAACATTTCTCTCGCAGAACACCTTTGTTATTTGGAAAACAAAAACGTGAGAACAGAAATTATCTTGTCCACCACTGTGGCCACAGTGCTTTTCGTTGGTAGGTGCTTATTAAGCGTGGAAGTTGAGTTAGTATATTGGTAGCATGCCAAAACACCACACATGGGATTATTTCAGTCAGATTTCCTATGCACTGGGAACAAATCTTATTTGGGTAAGAAATCTGAGGTTTAATTTTTTAAAAATGATCATAAATCTATGGTATGTATTATTATTGAACAAAATTTGAGGATCTAGTGTGCAAATATATGCTTTTAGCACTGTAATAAGCTAAATTTGATTGCTAATTTAGCATCTGTATGTTTTTTATAGACTTAATTTTTTTAGAGCAGTTCTATGTTCATGGCACAATTGAGTAGAATATGGAGAGATTTCCCATGTACCACTCCCTTGTTATTAATATCTCTCACCTGTGGGATATTTTAACATTTGTTAAAGTTGGAACATTTGTTACACTGCCGAACCTACCTCTGCACATCACCCAGGCGTGCATCCTTTGCCATAGGGTTCATTATTGGTATCTTTTTTTTGTTGTTTAATCCAGAAACTATTCCACAAATATTTACTGAACACCTTCTGTGAATGTGTTAGGTACTGAGAAAATGCAAAGAATTAGTTTAAAAAAAAAAAATCATTTGTGAGCCTGCCAGCCTAACCAAGTTTCTCTTTCTGAAGTCTTACCATCCTTATTCATAAACATTTTTAACTTGTAGTCATAGTGTGCATATCTGTCATCCTTAGCAGTGTTCTTAGTGTAGGAAAGATTATCAGAGTCCTGTGTGTGCCAGGACAGTTCAGAGCCCCTTGGAAAACAGTTGATTCCTCCTTGAAGAAGCTTACAGGATTTTGGTGAGGAAAATGGTATGGTTATATGTGATATATTTGTTGTAGTGGCATTGTCAAGGTGTCAAGAGACTACAAGAAGGTAAGCCTCACTTGGTAGTTTAAGCCTTAGGCTAAGGTTAAGAAGATGTTTCTAGGTAAATGGGTGCTTGTAAGGGAGGAGGAGGAGAGACAGGACACAGGCAGCTAAGTAGATTAATAGACTATCAGAAGAAGTTTTTATGATGATGGAAATGTTCTCTGTAGTATCTAATAGTCACCAGTCATATATCAGGGCTTCCCAGGTGGTGCTATTGGTAAAGAATCAACTTGCCAAGGCAGGAGATGTGGGTTTGATCCCTGTGCTGAGACTGTCCCCCGGAGAAGGAAATGGCAACCCACTCCAGTATTGTGGCCTGGAAAATGCCATGGACAGAGGAGCCTGGTGGGCTACAGTCCATGGGAGCACGAAGAATTGGACATGACTGAGCAGCTGGGCACACACACACACACACACAGCCATGTGATGAGCGCTTGAAATGTGGCTAGTTTTGACTGTGGGGTTGAATTTTCAGTTGAGTTTTGTTTAAATAGCTGTATATGGCTAGTGGCTCAGGTATTGGCAGATGTGGTGTGTAGTTGTAGTTAATGGTGGTCAGTGGTGATGTGATGTTGATCTGTCAGTAGCTCATTCTTTGGATGCTGAATGTAAGAGCTCCTTTCGGGCTGTTGCTGTTGTCTACAAAACTTCATTTAATACCTTCATGCAAGTTTGATCAAGTCTTTAGAGTGAAATCACTTGATTGGGTCAGGAGGTAGGAAAGCCTTTTGACTTTCTCGAATCTTCACTTTTATGGTTCAAGGATGAATGAGCATGTCTCTTTCCAATTGTATAGTATGCAATCGTTATACTATGTGTTAGATAAACATTTTAAATATTT